CATCGCCTGTGGCCAGGACCAGGTCCAACAGGGCATTTCCTCTGGCGGGACTGTACACCTCCTGAATTAAGTGGAGGTCCTGTATCTCGGCCAGGAACCTCCTGGAACGGTCCGACCTGGCTGACTGTTTCTCCCAGCAGATGTCCCAGTAATTTAAATCACCCATGACAACTACATCCTTCGCCTTAAGTATGTCTGCAAGCTGGACCAAAAATTCCTGGTCCAGCTCCTCCCCTTGGTTGGGGGGGTCTGTAGTAGACCCCCACCATTAGATCCCTCTCCCCACAGCCCCCTTGTATCTTGACCCAGAGCACTTCAGCTTGCCCCTCTGACCCCATTATCTTTAGATCCAAAGATAAATGACAAGGCCTATCTGGGACTGGAAGATTCTGCTGCAGCTCAGGCATATTTTCTGGTGGGGTGGATGGCTCTAGGTTCCTGCTTCATTCCATGAGACACTCTTTCTGCCGCTTCCATTTTTCTGTCTCCTGAGTCATTGTGAGGTTTCACAGTATTCAGATCATTACACCAGACTCTTCCTCAATTTGGGACGGTCGTGGGCAATAATCTCCCACAAGTTAATATTGATGTACCATTTTCTCAAGTTGGCCTTGAGGATGTCCTTAAAGTGCTTTCTCTGCCCACCTCTTGACTGTATGCCTTGACTGAGTTGGAAGAATAAAACTTGCTTTGGGAATCCAGAGTTGCACATCTAAATGATGTGACCAGCCCAGCAAAGTTGTTGTTGGATGATTATCACTTCGTTGTTCATGATATTTGCTTGTGACAGAACATTAATGTTGGTGTGTCTTCCCACTAGATTCAAAGAATCTTCTGCTGGCACTTCTCCAGTGACCTGAGGTGTCTCGTATATGTTGTCTACATCTCAGCTCGGTATAGCAAGGTAGGGATCACAACTGCTAGCGAGCTTAGTTTCAAATGTCATATCATGATCCTTGAACACCTGTTTCCTCAGGCATCTGAAGGCTGCACTTGCACATTTGAGGTGATGTTAGATTTATTTGCCAATGTCAGCCTCCTGAAAGAGATATCTTCCAAGATACAGAAAATACTCAATGTTCTCCAGAGTTTCACTGTAAATCTGAATTACTGACGCTGGAAACCACTCATTAAGAGCTTGTTGGTGGAGGACCTTAGTCTTCTGAATGTTAAGCATCAGTCCCATTTTCTTGTATGCCTCAGTAAAGACGTCAACGATTGTCTGAAAATCGGCTTCTAAGTGAGCACCATCTGAGTGAGCACACTACAGCCCCATCACAGTGTATTGGAGCTCGATGACTGATGTCGGGGTATTCTTGATTTTGACTCAAAGTCAGCCGAGATTAAATAGCTTGCTATCCATTCAGTAGTTTAGCTCCGCTCCAACCGGAAACTTGTCGGTAGTCAGATGTAGCATCACAGTAAGGAATACTGAGAAGAGTGTTGGAGCAACGATACAGTCTTGCTTAACTCTTGTCTTCACCTCAAAGGGATCTGTAATAGATCTGTTACTAAGAACTACCACTCACATACCATCATGGAGCAGGTGATAAATGATGATAAATTTCGGCAGGCATCCATATCTCAAAATGATCCTCCACAGTGCTTCTCAGTTGACAGAATGGAAGGCTTTCATGGGGTTAATAGAGAGGTTTACGTTGTTCCCTGCATTTTTCCTACAGCTGTCGAGCAGCGAAGATCATATTGGTTGTGCCTCTTGATGCCCAAGCCCACACAGAGTTTGGGAGGAGCTCTTCAGCAAGTGAAAGGAGATGGTTCAGGAAGGTTCTCGCAAAATAAGAATGGAGGTAAATGTGCAAACAACAGCACCCTAGAAATGAACAGTGCAACAAAGATAACCAGCTAGAGAAAAACAGGCCTGTTCTGTTAGGTAATCTTTTTTGTGGTGATTGTGAAAGGAAACAAAAATACTTCTAACTAATAGTTATTTAAGGGAATAAAAAAGCCAACTCTCTCTCAAAAAAAAAAAAAAAAAAAGATCACTCCTACAGTTAATTTTAATTTCTCACTCGTAGTTATCATTCATGACTACAAATCCAACCAGAGAATAAGATCAGGCAAAATATAAGTAACGCTGGCATTACTTACCATTAAAAGGAAAATATTTATTGGAGATATTATGCAAAAATTTGAAATACCTGAATTAAGGATTAAATGGATTACACATTATTTTATTGACTAAATTAGATCTCTTAGTGCAACTAAAGGAAACAGGTATTGCAAAACACAAGTTACATTTATAAATGGTTTGCTGAAGCAACTCAAATGCATATTTAAAATTCTGGATGGCAATATATAATTAAATTATTTTAGCAAATAATGTCCTTTGCTAGCAAAGTTGAAAAATCAGAATAAATAGCAATTATAAATAACTCCTCTTAAAAGAAATCTCAAGGCAAAATAAAAGGCCTAAAGAAGAAGCTGAAATAAGATTATGCAACGAAACAGAAAAGTCTCAGATGAAAATACATTGATTGTACATTTACTGTTTATTAAAATAAAACTGAAGACAATAAGCAGGTCTCCAAACCTCAATAATAAGCCAGAAAGACCGGACAGAACGCTCAGCTCAAATTAGAGGGGACACAAACATTTAAGGCCTGATTCTGTAATCTCACTCACATGACTGGCCTTTTTGCTCCTGCGGATTTGTACTGAAATCAGTGGATTCTGTACAGTGTCAGGATCTACCAATATGAACAAGCCTGCACAACAGGGGGTCTAAATATAACTTAACTGTATTTACTCAAATCCAAGATGGCATTTCCACACCACCATCAACGCTGGGGGGGAAAAGCACCATCTTTGATTCAAGTATCAGCCTGGGGCAAGTAGCAGCTCAGCTCAAGCTTCTTCCCAAGGCCAATTCCAGAGCTGAAGCCAAACCTAAGCTGCCACCTGTCCCAGGCTGGGGTGGATCATCAGTAAAGAGAGCATGGGGGAGACTGTGGGGGCAGGAGGACATGTGGGGGAGACCCACAGCATGCACCATGAAGGGGACATGGGGGAAACTGAACTGCCTGTCCCCCATTCCCACCAGCAATTTTCCCTCACACTTACCTTCAGCTCTGGCTCCAGCCTCAGCCCTGCTGGCCCTGACCTGGCTATGCTACAGCTGCTGTCACTGCTTCTCCCTGGTGTGGCCAGGGATACCACAACTGCCTGCCCCATAGCTGGAGCCAGAGCTTCTCAGAAGGTAAGCAGGAAAGGGAGTAGACACTGGCTAGGGGTTGTGGTGGTGGGGAGCAGGACAGGTGACAGGGATAGATGCTATTGGGCACATGGTAGGGACAGACAGCTGGGGGGGAACAAGCACGTGCATAGGGTATGGGGGCAAGGGGTGGATGGCTAGGATGGCACATGGCTTGGGGCAGGGACCAGGCACAGTTATGAGGAAGAAGGGGCAGAAGGCAGGTCAAAAGGGGGTGGGCAGCAAGTGGCAGGGCAAGGAAACACAGGGAGGGCGGGGGGGGGCAAGGGGCATGGGTCAAGCCCCTCACCAGCCTTCCCTGCCACAGCTATGGGAGAGAGGATGAATTTAAGATGGCCCTCCAATAATTAGGTTCTATACATGGAAAATTACAATATAGTTTAGGACTTGCCATGTACAGAATCTAATTATTGGGGGGCTGGGGTTATCCTAAATTCAAAGTAATTTTGGATTTGGGCATACACAGTATGTATATACATACATTTGAAAGTTTCATGGAGGTGTTAATGGTGGTTCCATTGTTAAGGTGGAGTTGAATTCTGTACTAAAAATAGGGTTGAAGTGATGTTGCAACCATGATTGTCCAGGAAATACACAAGCAGCAACTAATTTTTTAATTTTTTTTTTTAGGCAAGATCTTATATTGGACCAAAGGTAGGAAGGAAAAATAGAAAGTTTGTTTCTTTTAGCAGCAGTAGGCATGAGGTTTAGACACTTGGGTTTAGATGGAAATGCAGTTATAGCAACCTAGATGAATAACCGTTTCCATACTGCTGCCAAAGTTAAGTCCTTTCTCCCTCTATTAAGCTTATAATTTTTCCTTCAAAATGTGCTGTACACATTTATATTTTATGTTAGATGCATACTTGTCCAGTGCTTATTGGAAGAATTTTGGCTAACAGTCCCCATTGGTATGGTGCTGCTCCAGAGCACCACCTGGGATAACAAGGAATAACAGCCACACATTGACTGAGAGCAGGTTCAGGCTTGATATCAGGAGGCATTACTTTATGGTTAGGGCTGCCAGGCTCTGGAATGGGCTCCCAAGAGAGGTGGTGCCTTCCCCTACCTTGGGGGTCTTCAAGAGGAGGTTGGACAGATATCTGGCTGGAGTATAATGATCCCAGCACCTGATCCTGCCCAGCGCAGGGGGTCGGACTTGATGATCTGTTCAGGTCCCTTCTGACCCTAGAAACTATGAAATATATGGCAGCTATGTCATATTGTTGAACCTAGCCATAAAAATTGAAAATAAAACTGACTGATTTCATCAAAACCTCATCTGATACCATGTCCTATTTGAGATTCTTGTTTTGTGTTCATGTATTTTTTTTTTAATTTAAAAACTTGGAAATGTCCAAGCAATAATTTACTTGCAATGGAACTCAACCTCAAGATCATTATCATCATGATGCACAACAGCTGTAAGCACCTTGATGAACAACAGTCTGTCATATAATACAAACATTTGCACTGGTTAATATTAGAAAACAGGGCTGTCCAACTTTGGTGTAGACAGGGGCTACAGATGGCACCAACACGTGGAGCCTGGGCTGTACACTGCAAAGGCCTCACTTTTGGGGGCATCCACAAATAAGTAGGGCAGCCTTGGAGGATTAAAGAACAGTGGAAAAACCCTAAATAAAACTAATTTCTTGATAATTAATATTTCTAACAGTGATAAAGTTCTAATTTTTTAAATACATAACTACAGAATACAAACTACCAGGAAAGTACCATTTCTAAACAAAATTGCTTGCTAGTGAAGTATTTATAGTATTGATAAATACAAAACTTCACTCTATGCTAGAGATACAATTAAGTGTTTGGTGATAACACACTAATATCTAACTACCAATTAGGACTACAATGTTACAAGACACTTGACCTCAAAGCCAACTGAAGTCACACATGGAACACTTTGCAGGATCAGTCTGTAGCCATTATCAGGATGTGAATGGTTTGTTTAAACTGGGTAACTCTGGAATAGTGGTGGAGTGAACCTATGGACAGACATACCTTTGGAGCTGTTTCAAAAGGAAAATGTTTCAGGACAGCACCTGTTACATTTTAATTGCTATGGGTAAATAAGCTGGAAGTTATATAAATGTAGCTAAGCTTTAACACTAGGCTGCATACAGACATAACTCCCGCCAAAAACAGTGCTCTACATTAAACTTGGCGCAACCCCGTGCCAGCCCAGGGCATGCCCAGAAAGAGGCATTGTGTTAGTTTGAGCAAGCCCGCCCAACATCTGTATAGATCAGGTGGTTCAGTGGGAATTTTTCTGCACTTTTATCTAATAGCTGATTGAATCAGCTGTTAGGTAAAAGTGCGAAAAAGCCCCTCTGAAGCACCCGATCTATACAGATGCTATAGAGCCAGGCTGAACTAACATGATGCCTCTTCCAGCAAAGTGTGGTTTTGGTTTTTTGTGTTTTTTCACATCTGTCAGCAGCTCTACTAAATGAAGCAGGTTAAAGCCTAGAGTAGTTCTGCTATGTTTTTATCATTCATGGCTTGTCTAAACATAACAATTAGAATGTAACAGCTCTGCCCTTTTGATCTACAGCTCCAAATGTATCAAGTTCCTAAGCTAATCAGCAATACAAATTAGAGGGGAAAGTATGTTATTGAAACTTCCTTTTAAGAAAATCAATATTAAAATTGATAACATCAAAGTACTGTTCCAACCCAATATTTGTTTGTTTACTTTGCTTCTGACAGATTATATTCCATAATAAACAATGTACATTATTAGAAAATATTCCAAGTACAAAACAAAGTAAACTCCAGCATATTCATAGCTAACTTGCACATTAGCAGTAGCTTTCTGAAACATGGGAGACAGAGGTTTTATTTCTAGCTTGGCTACTGGCCTGCTGGATAACCTTGGTCAAGTTACCTAACTTACTAGTGCCTCAGCTTTCCCATCTCTAAAGAGGGGGTAATAATGTTTTTTCCTTTGTAAAAGTACTTTCAGATCTACTGATGAGAAACATAATATATGAGCTAGGTAGTATTATTTTTTGCATCCAACATACTGGTCCCAAAGTCCTTCCTCTTTACAGTTCTTAGTACTTTCTTCTTTTTAATTAGCAATTTGTCATAGAATATGTCTAATAAACAAAGAGGATAAGTTTTGCTGAGTGTGATTTATCTGCAAAATGTCTCAGAAAGACAGTCAGTAACATTATCTTATTTTACAGACGGAGAAACTGAAACGTAGAAATGGGAATTTTCTCCGCCAAGCTCTCCCATAAGTCAGTAACCAAACTGAGTATAGAACCCCATATCTTGCACTCCAGTACAGTGCTCTGCCCACTGGACCATCCAGGTTTTACTGTATTGTAGTTTGTCCACTGACTTATTAAAAACAGATAGTTTCTCGATCTTCCTCTTTCCTTAAATCAGTTTCTGGGGTGGGATGGTGTGGAGGGAGGGTGATGGAAATGTAGATAAATTCATAGATGGGTGTCTATAGGTACTATTTTAAAATCATTTTATGAAAATGAATGCAAAAAATCTTTGGTCTTCAGGTGTTTTGAACAACCTAATGCATAAGAATGAGATAAATACAATAGGTTTATAAACTGTTATATTTTTTCTCATGCTGAGTTTCTCTATTCAAGATAGCCATTTAAGATAGGTTGGATATGGTATATGAGCAACAAGCACTTGTGTGAGTCATGACATTCTCTACTATTTCACTGTGAAACAGGTCCATTTCTTGAAATGTTTCATAAGATTCTTGACTCTCTTTATCCTGAGGAGTGGTAGTATCAACTAAAAAAATACTGTGATTTGCCAGAGACAAGTGAAGTACATTTTACATAGTTTGCCATTTGTTTGTGTGTCAAGGTAAAATGACATCTCTGGAACAGTTTATTTCACTAGAAATCTATGTATTTTACCAATCTGAAACACTAAGGCTGCTTACAGATGTATGTGTGATCCCCCTTCTTAAGCCCCCCCGCCCCCCAAAATAAATGATGCTTTACTGTAAACTCTGGACACACCCACAAAGCCCAGCACATACCCAGAAGAGGCATTGTGTTAGTTGGATCTGACTCACCCAATGTCTGTATAGATCAGGTGCTTTAGTGGGGCTTTTTTGGGGGCTTTTATCTAGTAGCTGATTGAACCAATCAGCTACTAGATAAAAGCGCCAAAAGAGCCCACTAAAGTGCCCAATCTATGCTTAGATAAAAACACCAAAAAAGCCCCACTAAATCACCCCATCTATACAGACACTGTGGAGCTGGGTTGATCTAACATGCTGCTTCTTCCACTAAAGCACTTTTTTTTTTGTCCCCCACATCTATCAGCACCCTAAAGTGTTTTAGCCTAACTATACACCTAAACTTAGTCAAGACAAAGCCTAACTTCTGGGTACTCATCCCAGAAGCCATTTTCTCCAGCTGCTTTCATAGACCTTCAGCGCTGCAGTAAGATAATACAGTTGATGATTAGAGGAAGGCTTGCCCAAGGCCAAGTCTCCCACGAAGGCAACAAAATTGTGGTGGGGAACGCTTTTGATGCTCCCAAGCCACAAAACAGTAAAATATTTAGAAGCCAATGGCGACCAGTCACACAAAGAGATGAAAGTGATGGAGAAAGGGTAAATCAACACCAATCTCCATCTGAAAACTTCAGTAATTTCCTTCACACAGTCTTCTTGATACTTCTTATCAAGCCTCATTCTCTTTTACTGACTTGCAGCCTGTTCCAAAGAGGTACTAATCATCTTTAGTGCCCAGTGAATTCAGTGAAAGTTGGATACTCTTAGCACTTGGCAGGAATAAAGCCTAAAACAAAATGTTTTTTACTTTCATGCCTATTCTGAACTGGATGTTAACTCAAAGTTCATAATTTAATGTATTTAATAAGATAATCCATTAAGATGGAAAATTTCAGAACATAAGGAAACTCAAAATTATGTTGCATAACAGTTGTAAAATGGCTATATTGTCTACTGTATACAGAGACATCTATTTAATACTACACTGAAATATAAAATACTTCATCTAACACAAGAAATAGCATAATAACTCCTTCGGATACAGGGACTTGGATTTTTTTAATTTCTCCTTTAATTGTTTGTTCCACAGGTAAACAGATATTTTATATGCTTTCCATTTAGGAAATTATGCTTACCAACCAAGGAATTCCTGTTTTGAAAGCCATTCTTCTTCTGTTTTTCCTAAAATAAATAACAACAGAAAAAGGAAGAAAATGTGGTGTGAGATTTGTGTCTATTTTACATAACAATTTTTAGTTAATTGTATTTATAGGATTTCTGTCATTTTTCATGATAGCAGCCTGTCATATTTTCTAAAAATTACCATAAAAAATAACAGGTACTGTAAGCAGGAGCAAAAACCTATTTCAAAACTGCAGTGTTTGACCAGGTAAAGGAAGCCAAGTCCCAGTCAAACTCGCGCAACACAACCTCTGTTAATGTTTTTGCTAGAAACATCAGGGAAGGAATAGTGTTAGCTGGAGATACTCGGGTTGTGGCACAATAGATGTATGAAAAGAATGGTGGAGGGCAGCAGGAACTCATATGGGGGATTTAGGGAGGGACCTACAACAACAAGAAGAGATTTGATTTTTCTTAGCTGGCTCCCAAGTTATTCTATTGCTATGCCCACCACACCTTCTCAGTCTGACTATATATTAGAACTAGTCCTGGCCTCGCAGGAGATGGTTCATTAAATTGTTTGCATTTATAAGAGAGATCTTCCAGCCAAAATAATCTTTCCTTCTGAATTAAATAGTTGTTCTTTGCTCCTAAACTATAGGTGGCTTGGCAAAAAGTAAAATTCATACCTCCACAGATGTCTTCCACAGGAAATAGATCATCTTTGATACTTTCCAATCAAGAGGAACTATATAATCATCTGGCAACAAAGATTCTGCAAAAGAACAAGACATTTTAGGGATGACTATTCATATTACTGCATTTTAAGCAAAGAAGTATCATTGTATTTTATCAGGTATTGTTTATATTTTAAAGACTTGCTGCTACCTCAGCTCAGGCAAAACCCAGAATTATATATTTTCTACATACCAGGTTTTAAGGAACCTAAAGCCAATACAAATATTTTTATATAAATATATATTAAATATATATTTTATATAAAACATGCATTTACCTGTAGCATTTACATGCCATAAACGGCAGCTTTCTGAAAGTGCATAAGAATCTGAAATAAAATATACTAAGGGGGAAAAAAATCACTGAAAACAAAAGTAAAAGTATTTCCCAATAGACTGGGACCAATATCCAGAACTATAGTATCTTTTACAATCATAAATGGTCACGGCCTCAGTGCTATATCTCTTAAAGAGTATTTCCAACAGAAGTTCCCCTAAAATAGAGAGTTTGGCTTAGTACTGACTCTAAGGGATAAGGTAATAGTCACTGATTTACTACAACTTCATTACTACTCCCAGCTTATACCCATGTTTGGAATTTACTGGTTCAATTTGTTATAATAGCCAATCATGCTTCCTTGATGAGATCTGACAAGACCCTAGCCCAGAAAGGCCAGGGACAGATTTTACACATAAACCGGTTTAAGTGATCAGAAACTGGTTTAAACATGTAACAGTACAGATGCTCAGTGCACATAAACCAGTTTGAAAATGTCTGAAACCAGTTTGAGATAAACCTGCTTGAACGTAGTATCAGTCTTAACCGATTTGGCTCAAACTAGTTTATACAATGTCTGTCCCAGACCCCTTGCTGGTTTAGGATAAACCAGACTCCCCCAGCATCCCAGCATACTCTCTGGGCTGGACAGGGCTCTCTGATCCACAGCAGGGCTGCCCCGTCCCTTTTGCTCCCTGGTTGGAGCTTCAGCAGAGACTCCAAGTGCATCAGGGTCTGCCTGGCTTCCCCCTGCTCAACCCCCCCTCGTTGCTGAAGCAGGGATCCTCCCCCTTTCTTCCTCCCATCTCTCACAGCACAGACCCCAGCCCCATGGACCCTAGGCATGTGGTATGTTAGCTAATGCTGAGAGGTGTTTGTGTGTGCATGTCTCCAATTTCACTGGGACAGGCAAACTGAACAGTGACCACTTAGGGCTTTTTGGAACTAATCAACAGGTCATCTGGTAAGCTGTTTAAGAAGAGTTTGAACTCCATTAGGAGAGGGGTTATTGTTTTGCTGATGGGGTGATAAACACTGTTATCAGCTCCCTGCTGGCTTGCTCTCCTGTCAGTTTACTGCAAACAGTATAAAGAAGCAGGGAGGGAGATTAAAAAGCACTGTGTCATCAACAGATGCATGTATTGCACTCCCCTCCCCACCCCACCCCACCTTGCCTCAGAGTGCTAGCAGGGGGCTGGCAACACTCCTGCCCCTTGAGCAGCCAGTGAGAAAAAGCCTGAGATGGTGCAGGCAGACCTTCCCAGTCAGAACATCCTGCCGTGGCCGGGCCTGGCTTGCCCCCCCCCAGCACTATGAAAGGGAAGGCAGAGCTGCCCTAGTGTTCCCTGGCTTTTAGCCTGAGCCACTGCAGGCATATGCCTGAATTTTCTCAGTCCAGAGAGAATGTCTGTCTGGTTATAAACTGGTTCAGCCTAGCCAGCTGAGACTAACCTGCGAAGATTGAATCAATTCAGGCTCAGGCTTTTTGAATATCTGTCCCTAGCCAAGATGTACACTTGCAAGCCATAGCTGAAGAGAGGAAAATGTATTTGCAGATAATAGCCAAGACCTCACAAGCACCTAATATATGGAGGAAATTATATTGTCCTCATCATTAGTGATGGCATCAACTTTTACAAGAAAAGTATTGGTCTTGACAGGTAAGTAAAAGAGAAACTAATTATTGACTGTTTTAAAAAACATGTTTGTTAATTTTATCCCCAATTCTGCAAAGCTTTTAAGCACATGTTTAACTTGAAGTCTTAACACCTAAAAATCATTAAGGATTACTCAAGGATTTAAAATGAAGCACCTACTTAAAAAAAAATCATCATGTAGCTTTTGACTCTGTCTTAGGAAACAGATATCATCTGATTTCTCATTTGTGCCACATTAAAAATTTTAAGGTGGTACAAATGCTGAGCAACTAGACTTCTTTACCATTTCTTGTGCCACATGACATGAAATCAGTGGCACAGCAAAAGGTAGTAATAGACTCTGCTGCTTTATTGAGGCAGATGCCTATTACCTTGTGGCACTTTCTCCACTCAGCCTGTGTCTTTTGCCCAGTGAAGTGGATCAGCTGTGCTGTGACATATAACAGCACAAATGAATTGCTCCATTCAGCAGCATCTATTTCTAATCTTGGTTCTCTGTAAATATGCTTTGTTAATATGATATGTTAAAATCAAAGAAATGTTTCTGTAATCTAAATGTATTTAGTATTTTCATTGAGGAAAGCCCCCACAAAAGAGGTAAAATGTTTATAACTATTTGTCTAAATAGGGGCCTGTAGTCACTGATCTACAAAGTCTTAGGCAAATGTTCAGTTATACACATGAAGAACCATGTTAACTATGTGTCACTAGAATTACTTCCATGTGAAGGTGATCATACACTTAGGAAGAAGGTTTAACCTTTTCAATGTATCTTGTTCTTCAGGGGGATATATGCAACCTGACTTAGCATATAATTTAAATAAAATTACACTAGGAAAATTTAAACTCAGCATACGCCTTAGCCTTTTATGATGACATTCCAGGTGTGTATAACATGCTCCAAAGAATATACATAGCACAAGAAAAATATGCATCTGGGGCTAGAGCTTTGATTTCATATTAAATTTGGCTCAGGGCAAAATTTTCAAAAGTCCCTAAAATGTACTGAAAAGGTTAATGGAATATAGATTCTGGATGTGCAATATTCATATTGGAATGCTAGTATTTAAAAAGGTGAAACACATGCTTGCTAGCAAGGAAATACGCAAACTCAAACATAGGAGCAAACGATTCACTCTTCATGTCTGCTTTCATGAAGTTTCCTAACTACCTGGTTAAAATTTGACTTAATATAATGTCTTTATGCAGCTGAAACTGCAGCACAGCTACAAGGATCTCATTCTTTGGATTTAAAGTTAGTGAATAGTCAGCATTACTCAACAGCATGCAACAAGGGTACAGCTATAAAATGCTCAACGAAGAACCGGTAGCCTATATAATTAAGTGAGCAAGAGATCTAATTAATTCCATCAAAGTATCTATACTGGCAACCAGTCGTCATCTAAATTGTCACAAATGTGTAACTGCTAGCTGCAATGAGAAACTGACATTTATCTTCACATATGCTTGAAACAACAACAGTTAATATTACCCAGTGGAACTCCAGGAGAACCAAAAAGCTGCACAAGCTGAAAAGCAAATCCTAATGATAAAGGAAGATCCAGAACATTAGATTTAGCATCTATAGAATCTTGTTTATCTTCAATTTGTGAGGCTTCTGGTGGTTCAGTTTTCTCTATTTTGTGCATACCATCCCCACAGCTTTCAAACTTAATACAGTCTGCAGAACAGTCAGAAATGACTTTAACAGAAGACAAGATATCTGGGTGACTAGTTGTGACCTCAGAAGAGACTTGTTCTTGTTCACCCTCTTTTTTATCACATATCTTTTGTTGTTTAACAGGTGGGATTTCTTCCTCAGTTGTTGAAGAAACTATACACAAGCTATTGGGAAATTTCTGAACCGAAGAAGCACCAGATTGTCCCATGTGATTATACAAAGTATTAGGCAAAAGAGATTTCACATAGTTAGGCGAAGACTCTATCAGCTCATCATTATTAGAAGATGGTTGGCATTCATGAATTTTAAAGATTTGGTCATCCCTTTCTCCATTTTTCTTACTGAAAACTTTCTTTTGTTTAATTTCCAAAATGCTTTCTGATAAGCAATCATGTTGTAAAGGAACATCCTTCTGTCCTTCCTCTGTACTAACAGCAATTTGTCTTGGTATATTAAAGTTTGGTGCCAATTTCAGTATCTTTTTGTGTGTTTTTTTCTTTGGCACAACTGGTGCATATTTTGAATTTACTTCATGAAAGATGCTTGTGGAGGTGTCTTGTGATTCTTCGAATGAAATACCATCTCTTCTGTCAATCAAAGATAATAGGCTATCATGTGGTACACTAACAATCTCTTCATTGAACGTTTGCTGACTGGATTGTTTTTCCATTTCTTCATTAGAATGATGATGAGGTAGTTCTACGGTGTTGTCAGAATATGTCTGTTTGGGTGTCCTCGCTTTTTTTGGTCTTTGCTCACATATAAATTTATGGGTGCTCTCAGGCCATGCAGAGAGAGAAGTCTGCCTATCAGAGTCCAGCTGTAATTGTTCATCACCTAAATTAATTGAAAAAAAAGCCCATGCATTTGAGTAATTCCCATTTCTTTTTGATATATGTTTATCACTTATGTTTTTATCGGACAAGATGATGGATGTTTCAGATTCTTTTAAATCATAAAGGTGAGAAAGATTTTCTTTTGGTTCACATGTCATTTGACCTGATTTACATTTGTCTTCAGTGTTTAACATCACAGTATTATAATCATCACTACTATGTTCTGCTATTATGATAGAATTTTGATAATTTATTTTTAATGAATTGCTTTCTTTCTCCAAAAGGGTTTTATTTTGATTTTCATCTGTCAGCTGTTCATCAGCTGTGTGTTCAGTTATGTTATCATTAGAAATGGATGTTGAATTTATTAGAAGTGGATTTTTATCTTCTGCAAGCAAGTTGTTTTTCGATGGATTATCAAATGTGGCTGAAATCTCAGACACAGCAACAGGAAAACCTTCTTTCTTACGATTTGTAGATTCTACACTTTCAACATCATCACCAGTAGAACCATCTTCACAACCACCGACTGGATCTCCTGCATCTCCACTGAACGTACAAGCTGATTTTCTGTTCTCTTCTTCTGAATCTTCCTCTTCACTCTCTGAGGTTTCCTGATCACCAGGAATTAGACGATGAGGGGCTCCATCTGACTTTTTCTCCCTGATGTTAATAAGGCTATTTTTTGATTTTTTGCCTCTTTTTCGCTTTTTTCTCTGTTTTGTTTTGTTCAATCGGTGTCCAAGTTTCTTCTTTAAATCTGTTTCCCTAAATATAAGATAAAGAATAAAATATGAAAGAACATCCATAGCCTAGCTGTGACACATAGCTTATATAAAATATTTTATGTAACCATTTGCTGAGTTTTGCTTAGCTGACTGCTGAAATTCTATTTTTAAAATTGTGATACAGAATTTTAAACAGTACCACATCTGCATATTTTTGACATATAGTATAAATGTACTTTATTATTCATAAAGCATTTAAACTATTTAAAATACAAAAAACCTTAAGTTTGTTTACACTTATTTTTTTATATCCTAATAAGTATCTCAAGGCGTACTTATGGGTAAATGGGGAAAACGTTAGAAATCTTTCAGAATTGTCCCCCATTGATCCTTGCTGGTCATTCCATAACAAGACTTTTTTATAACCTGTACGTTTGCAAAGTCCATCTTGTGCAGTACTCAGAAGTGTAGATATTACCTAATAGATGGTGAAATGTTCAATTTTCCTTCTATTAAAATATCCCATTGATTTCCAAGTGTTCCTCTATTGGGCAAAATATATTAGAGTGACTCAATAATTCAGAAATTAAAGGGGAAAATACAAAAATACAGGGGAAAAAACCCTTTGATAATATAGAAGTTTCATTATTTTTTACAGTTTTCCAAATAGTTTCTTAATTACATTTTTCGTATACCTCATGATCCAAGTATGCTATGGACAAATTAGCTGTGCTAATAAAGTAATAGCGAAACTAACAACTTAAACAAATACCTAGGAAAACCTATTCCAGAAATCCATCCTACTCTGTACCATTAATTGCATTAAAAGAACAAAAATGCAGTGAAAATAATTCCATGTGAACAGATACAAGAGATAGGTGACCTATATATATAAATGGATCCTTTTTTGCACATTTGTATCTACTACTAGAGACCAGATAGAGTATCAGAAAAAATATTTGAAATTAAAATGGGAAAAACAGATATGGCACAGGATAGGGAATAAAGGACTTAAAGGATGCTTCTACAAAGACCTACTTGTACCCTGTAATAACCAATTAATATATGCAAATAATATGTTATTTCTAAGAAATCAATAACCAAAATCTCGTGCTACAAAAATGCTAGTTCTCCACTGGAGAAGACCTCAATGAACATTTTCCCATGTAGGCCTTAGCAACAAAAGTCACTAAGCTACAGTAGATTTTAAAAACTTAATTTCTTTTGATATTAAGTATGCATACAAAATTTAAATGGGTATAAAACAACCTAGCCTATAAATTGTGAATCACTTGGGACCCTTCACTAGCAGAGGGAGTCACCCGTCCACTTTTGTTCCTGTGTCATTTAGATGGCTCTCCTAAATGACACAGAAACAAAAGACATAAAAAAAACCTAGAACGCTTGGTTCCAAAATGATACCTTTTATTAGACCAACTGGGAAATTGCAAGAAAATTGTATTTTTCTTCAAGCTTTCGGGATCGAAGTACCTTCATCAGGCTCTGGGAAAAGTATAGATGGTACAAGATGGTAAAAAGTTCCCGTAGGTATAAAAGTCTCTATACGTATGGGGACTTTTTACCATCTTGTACCATCTATACTTTTCCCAGAGCCGACCGAAGGAACTTTGATCCTGAAAGCTTGCAGAAAAGGACAATTTTCTTGTAATTTCCCAGTTGGTCTAATAAAAGGTATCATTTTGGAACCAAGGGTTCTAGTTTTTTTTGTATGTCTTCTGGTCTCAGACCAACATGGCTACCAAGTACACCACACAAACAAAAGTGCTTTTTGCTGGTGAAATTGAATAAAACAATGTTGAAAATTCTGAGCTCAAAAGGAACCTGGAGTTAGAGAGAAAAAGAAAGATGTTATGGTTCAAAAAAGTAACACTTCCCTTGTATAACATGTGACAAATTGCCAGATACTTAACTGAGTGCATTTGAAAATATGTATCCAGTATAAGAAATACTACAGCAGCTCTCAGCAGTTGCACAACTGCACCTGTGCTCAGTTGCTACAGCCATGGTAGCAAAAGATGCTGAGTCTGTTCAGCATGCACCTCAAACACTCCCAAATTACTTCATCAGTATCAGGGAGAACTTGGCAGTTAAAATGTATTCTTACATGGGTTACAGTAGGAGGACCATACCAACAGATCAGACCCAGAAAAATAAGGACTAGAGGTACTAGAATCTAGATCTAGGTCTTTCTCGGTTTCTATTTTTCTTAAAATTTATGAAGTACAGACATGGGAGAAAGGACAACAAACATCTAAGAATCATGATTATGGAGGCTGTGTGCAGGGGAAGGGAGAAAGCAACCAGGAAATTGCACAGTTGGACAGTTTAGCATTGCTGCATGAAGCAAGAAAACAAACTCATGGGAGAGTTCTTTTTGGAGTCTAAGAAAGTAAACATGCTTAGATACAGAGTTAATCCCCCTGAATTGACAGCCAGATGAAGAATATTACTAGCACAACAGTTCCCAAATGTGAGGTGTGTGCTCCTGGAGGGATGCAAAGGTTCCAGGGGAGTGGGGATACATGCGAGTCATGGCCACTGACTGCCACTGATTCTCCACACCACCTCTGCTGTGCTGCAGTCAAGTAGTGGGGGTCTTTGCTCATGCCACAACGGGGCCATAGAGAGCTTTGTCTGTGCTATACCTGGATGACAGGGAGAAGGGGTGGCAGCCAGGTCATGGCATCTGCCCACCAAGAATGTGAGCTGAGTCATTCCAGTCTACCACTGCAAAAAGGTTGCTCACTGCTGCCTTACTGTGTTGAGAGAATTATTTAAGAAAGACTACTTATCCCATGCGTGCTCAGCATTTATGTTGTAAGCATACTATGTGAACATCAGCAGGCAATGTACTTCCTGATCTGAAACATGGCATCCTTTTGGTCCAATCACTAACAAACTTAAAAATAAACAAGATACAGGATTGTGGAATGAACTTTAGAACCAAGTTGGAGAGATTTCTCTCTGACCAAATAGGTATGAAAGCTATCTATATTGCTCGAGTATCTGGGCAGTTTTCTAGAGTGCATAGTAAAATAAGAATCTATTAATTTAAATCTGACAGAAAGCTGACCAATTATTCTTCAGATAATGGGAATGTCACAGGATGCTACCACAATTCCCTAGGATTGATGTGAATTTCTTTCTTAAATGTCTTTTGAACCAGAATGGGGACTTCCTAGTTTCACAACAGCAGCAGCCCTACGTAACTGCAAGAACTGATTTCTTGCTGTCACAAAAAGATCTAAGCAATATAAACACAACAGCACAAGTATTTTAAACAATATGTAGGTACAAGAACAGCAGAAATGCAGAAGCAAAGGAATGAATCCTCCTTTCTTGAGGCTGCAGGATTAGCTCTATCCCCATTTACTGTTCTCTTTCATTAGGAGTGTTTCACATTAGGATTAAGATTGTTTCACATACTGATTAAAGGGGTTTTCTAGCATCTCAGGCCCCTGTAGACATAACAGGTTAATTTCATCTTAAATGTAATAATCACGTCTTGAATAGTAACCCAGCCAAACCTTCAGGCAATAGATAGCAAAACAAAAAGGAAAACCAGTCACAAAAATATTCCACAAAATGTATAACATTTTTGTGGCTGGTTTCCATCATACCTTAAACTGAATGTGTGGCAAGGACTGATACTACCTGCATGATAGGGCTTGGTGGACAGCTTCCCCATTCCAGCAAGCTGACAGCCCTGTGGCTACGCACAGAGGTTTTTTTTAACCTCTCCAATGCATGGGTACCCCAGGATCAGGGACCTCTCCCAGTCTCCACCTGCACTGGCAAGTAGTAATACTGAGAGTTGGATTTGATCCCTGATCCCAAAATCACACGTCCTTCCATGCACGTGTGGCACGACTGGACACAATTCTTGGGATTGGGATATTAGATCCCATCTCGCCATTGCATGAACATGTGCTGAAGGCCTTAGTCATAAGCTTAGCGGTTAAAGAACCCAAAAGGAGCACAGGATTTACCTATCTCCTGCTCATCACCTGGGACAGGGCCTTTTCATCCACTGCTAATGAGAGAACAGCTTGGACTTGTACGCTAAAGTACTGTTAAAGTTTATACAAGTCAGAGAAAAATGTGCAAAAGTCTAGTGCACTTAGCCCTTTCTTCCACCCACTCCTCTGTCATCATTCTTAAACAGGCAGGGGAAAAAACTCTGACAGGACATAACTTAGAATGCAAGAAGAAACAAACTAGGACCAGATATCCTAGAAGCAGGAATTTGAAGGTTCCTGTTATTTAATTTAAATTGCTTTTTGTGAAACTGAACAGAGTACAACCCAACAAACTAGATTGTACAGTACAACATAGAGGGGATAATAAACATACTAGTATTAAACATTCCACTGAATGTTAAATATTTAAGCCAACTTTATCATGTCAAGACCCTGGTTGGAATGCTAAAGAGTATTAACAGGATAAGATAAATGCCCAGTTTCCCCTCCGCATCATTTTAGCCGAAGTCTGAGACTTTTTTCCTAAAGAAAGGCCAGGGAAGTGGGAAACGAAAAAAAAAAAGCCTCCCAAAGGTACTGGACATTTGATGGTGGGGGAGCAGTAGCAATTAATGCTGCCATTGCTACCCCACTGCCAAATTTCCAAGCCCCGTGAGCCAAATGACATGGCCCTGTGTGCAGGTTCCAGTTGGTATGTACAGGGCTGGGGCCAGGGTGGCAGACCTGATTCATTGTGGTGAGACCAATGTGGTGCATGTGGGACTGGGACCAGGGCTAAGGCAGTGGGCCCAATCTGGTGGGATACGGCCCACGGGACAGGGGACTGCAAACTCCTCCCACATCACTCACTCAGCCCCCAGAGTCGCAAGGTTGGGCACCACACTGCTCTAGGATCAAACACCTGACCATGTCCTTCACCTCTCTTTCCCAGTTTGCTGCACTTGATAACAGAATCTGTCCAAATACTGCCTTTTAAAACAATGCATCTGTAATGTTCATACTCTGATGATGCTACTTTGCATATGTTGTTTCTTCTTGG